GTGCTGGCAGAAAAGCAAATCAGTCTGCTAGTGTCTGGGATTAGAATGGCATACACAGGAAAGCACACAAAACCAACAGCTCGCACACCTTTCAGGGCAGAGATTCAGAAACACCAGCCTCTAGTGGGTCTCATGTTGTGACTCATGTGCCAAAGACTGCTCTGTTCCACTAAAGCTTCTGTTCCACACAAGCTTGTCTTGTTAGGTTTTCAGACCTACCTGGTGACACCTTGGTCAATAAGCACATGAACAGACTCAAAATTGAGGTATCCTTGCCCAGAGGAGGGACTAAAAAGCACAAGTCCCCAACCCAGATGGAAGACCTGACTGCCTTTTCGCCCCAAGGCTCTGGCTGGGTGGAATATCTGCTTCCTCTCAGGAAAGCAGATTTGAGATCTCCCATTCTCCGTGGTCGTCAATTTCAGACAGGTTCCAGTAATTACATGACTTGCTCTGCACTTTCTCCAGCAACTCGGAGCTCCCAGTCCTCTTGCATGCACAGCCCTTGCTGCCACTGTTCCTGATTTGTTCCCAGGCCCTGGTCCCACCTTCCCAGTAGGAGCAGACCAACTTCTGCCAGGCCTCCTGGTCACTGCCAAATCCCTTCTCGAGTAGCAAATCTGAAGTGACTTAGACATCCTGAAGTATGTTACAAATGTCTATTGTTATGCCAGCGAGACACAGATATCACTTTCACCACTACACGCAGTAGTGTTGTAAGAGACAACATAGAGCTTACTCTCCTTTTGCGAACCTTCTGCAAATACAGCGGCAAACACTCATCAAGTGTGAGGCGTGGTGGGAGTGGTGAAAAGGAAGTAAACAACTTCCCAAGAGGAAAATCAAAAATTCTAAACCCTTTATTAGAACACGATCAGAAGCCCGGTCAACTCTTCCATCCCCTTTACTTCAAATGTCGCTGAGTGTTTTGAAGTTACCTGTCCAAGTAACGAACCAATAGGAAGAAAGATCAATACATCCTTGCCAACGCCCCTACTCTTCCTCCTTCCATGGACACAAATTCCAATTTCCATCCTAAATGTGATGTACTTTAAGGAATTTCTAAAGCACTTTCAGACAGAGCATCTCATTCTGCATTTTGAAGCGGCCATTGTAATTGGCCCTGTTATTTGAACTCAGAGAGTTTATGTGGCTCACCAAAGGCGATGGATGGAGCCTGTAGCAGGGGAGGCAGAATGTGTAATTTTGCAGGATGGCACTCCAAATTCTCACTCCCTTCTTGCCACCATGTGGCCTTGCCCATTAAAGGAAGATGTGTAGCTGTGCATCCAACAGCCGTTTAAAACCATAAGCGTCATAGTCCAGGAATATTCAGTGGCAGGCTCCAGCTCATAAAGCCTGTTCACAGCAACACTGAATTTGGAAGCAAGGCACCGGGGCTGGGGGTGTGGGGTGGGGATGGTCAACACTGAATTTGGAAGCACAGCACCAGGGCTGGGGGCTGTAGAATGGGGCTGGTGCCCACTGTGTTTCATTTCACTGGCCCTTTCCAGGACAATTAGGTTATCGGCAATCCTTCCCACCCCCGCCTTTTTTTTTTTTTTTTTAACCCTGACATTAATAGATTCTCCTAATCTTTCTGTTTTGTTTTGAAATCCACAATGTCAGAAAGGAAAAAAAAAGCCAGTCTTGGCCACCTTTCCCTAGAGATTAAATGGCACATCCTGCTTAGTGGAAAGGCAATGAAATTCTACTCTTCACCTATCTTCTTCTAACTTTCTTCCTTCTTTTTACCTTAAAGAAGCTGACTCCATCCTCCCTTCCTCCTTCAGCATGCCAAGCCAGCCTGACTTGGCCTTTCCTTTCTACAAATCTAGGCAAAAATAAGACAAAGCAACCCTCTAAAAATCATCCATCGAGATTATATTACTTTGAACTTGTTATTCATGAGGTTGGTTGCTGCCAGTAGAATAAAATTCTCTGCTCGGTGTCTCGGTGTGTCCTGCTGTTACCCAGGCTGTCTTTACTGCTTGTTTTGTCTCTATTTGTCTTTTATATCAGCATGGCCTTTTGTATGAGAGCTTTACCACACCAGGGCTGGTAACCGCTTTGAACTTACTTGTTAACACACCAAGCTCTTAACAAATATTTAATGAGATAAGAGGCAAAGACATAGCTCTGCTAGACGAAAGCGAACACAGAGATGGAAGGGCTCCGTGTCTCAAGGAAACGTTTTTTTCTGCCTTTTCCTTAGAAAATCAGCTGCAAATGATGAATGCTCATGACTGTCTAAGCTCAGAGTGACTCATACGCCAGAAGACACAATTAAAGGCATGAACAGTTTCTATCTTAAGTCACAGGAAAGCAGAGGAGAGTTACAGCACAGACGCTGCAGAGTCATCTCCTAGTGAAGCTGCTGAATTCACCGCGAACTGTCTCCTCCTCTGGCTGATCAGTGGCCCAGCAAGGTTTCCTATACACTCTTCTTACATGGCCTTGGTTACTGTGAAATAATTGACAGAGGAAGTCTGTCAATTATCTAGAGCAAGGAAAAGGAAGCAGGAAGAGAACAGCCCTGCTAGCACCTAGAGGGATACCAGAAACAGAGAATCCTGGCGAGGATTCTCTCAAACCTGGGGATAGTTTGCACGGGCTTATCACCATAATGTGCCCATGAGCCACCCAGGATCATCACCCTCACTTTCCACCGTATTCTCTTTTCCCAGCAGCCAGGACTGCTCCTCTAGAGGGAGAAATCTTCCCTTCCCGTTTCAGATTGTTTAAAAATGCTTCTACTATTGCTTGGCCCAAAGCCCTAGGAAGCCTTCCTCTGGGAACGTAGGCAAAGGTCATTGCTGGGGTGCACCTGGATGGAAGTGCTTCCTCTGGGGAAGAAGGCACAGAGCATCACTGGGTATACCTGGATGGAGGTGCTTCTAGACCTTCAGTAAAATTAGACTGCCCACCCTTCATTGCACCCACATTGAGATGCCAGTTGTCTTAGATGGTTAATTCTTGAGTTTCATTTGGAGTTTGTTCTAAATAATTAATTTGCGATGGATACAAATCTGCCTTGCTTTCTGAATTTGTTGCCCATCTTAATTTCCACCAGAAACAGATATGCTAACGCATCCTGGGAAAAAATATCTCCATAATCCTGCCATAAACTTAGCATGTCTTTACCATCAATCAAAAGAAAAAAAAGGTACTCTCGTGGACTCTGATTCCAAATCCTGTTTCTTATTTCTTAACTCCAAAGGTGAAATGCAATTCTTAACCATCCACTTGAAATTTGGGTAGGGGTTATGGCAGTACAAACATACAGGATTTCACATTGCAAACTAACAGATTTTGAAATCTCCATAGGTGCATGCGAGTCACATAAATGCAGGTTTCAATGAAAAGCGTAATCAGTATTGCTTTGTTAAGTTTAAATTCTGCTTAAATAGAGACCAACTGCTAGAGGGTAAAAAGACGTTTAAAATTATAAACATCTTTTAAATCTCAGTCGACTGTCTCCTTTCCCTTGATTACAAAAGCTCATCTCTCTTCAAACAGCTACAGTTCCTGTCCAAATCATCTCCTACTGTCTCTGCACTGTTTGGACAAGTTTTTCCTTTTTATATACCACCGTAGAAGCGTACATACTAGGAGACCATTGTTAAGTGACGTCTATGACAAGGAAAAGTACACTGCATCATATTGGATTGAATTGGTGGTTGTACCCAACGGGCCACAGACAAATAGACTAAAGTTGCTGTTTCACAATGATAATTCAAACTTAGGATCTTATGAAGACTTTCAAGACATATTTCTGTAAAGCATTATAATACAAGACATGGAAGGTCTTGCACTCAAACTATATCTGAAATAGTATCAGGCATATCTGTAAGTTCTGAGCTGGTGAAAAAAGTCATAAATAAGGATATGTCTATGACTTTTTTTCCTTACAAGTTAGTATTCTGAAGTTTAACAACTAAGACTGGATCAGTGGTAATCCACTTGGATAATTATACATAGCTTGAATTGTTTTGATTCAAATTCAAATTTGATCATTTTATTTAAATGGTGTCAAAAATATATCAATAATTTTGGACTCTTGGCATAATCTTAGATAGATGATATTTAATAGCCAAATTTTTAAAAAGCTCATATTTTGAAATATATTCACACCTACATATATCATTATTAATATCACACTGCGTTCTCTACTTTTGAGAATAGGTATAGGCTTAAGGCTAATCAATACCAACAGCAAAATGCATTTCTAGATGTCCCAATATACTCATTCATCTTTTCAATTGTTCAAACTCAGGCCAGTCAAATTAGTCATGTTTGAAATGGCCTAGCATAATCAAACATACAGACACATACACACACACAAGTGAGTGTACTTAAAAGTGGAGAAATAGGAGTAGGGTTGTGAATTGTATCAATGTCAATTTTCTGGTTGGAATATGCTATTTCAGTTGTGCAAGATGCTACCATAGGGAGAAACTGGTCAAGGAGTGTACAGGATTTCTCAGTATTATTTGTTATGGCTTCATGTGAATCCATTATCTTAAAATAAAAAGCTGAAGAAAAAAGGCAAGGAAGAAAACAATATAGTATACTGCCACTCGTTTTTTAAAAAATATATGTATGTATATGTATCTATCTATATAGACATACACACAGAAAGATGCACATGCATTTACAAGTATAAGAGCTGTATGTATGCTATTCCTATAAGGATAACTAAGAAAGCATTAATACTGATTGGTTCTGAGGATAACTAAAGAAACTAATAGAATGCGTATTTACTTTTAGTCGTATACCTGTCTGTGGCTGTTGAATTTTGAGCTACTGGCATTATTCATTCAAAAAATAATTTTGGGGGATTGAGAGCAAAATAGCCATTTCAAACCTAAAACAAACAAAAGCAAAACAAAAAAACAGCTCAGCACACAATGAAAGCCTAGTGAATCCATATCAAGAGCCGTAATTCTGATACACACATCCACAATAAAGACGAAAATATAGAATCTTAAGTATCTTACGGCTTGAGATGCAATAGGACAGTCTGCAGTTGATCTTCCGGAAAAGCTGCTTGTTAATTGGCCAGAGAAGGAGAGTGAAGAGCTGAACGGTGTTGATGATTAGCCCCGAGGCAATGAAGACGTAGCAGAAGATCAGGTGGCACAGGAACTGAGACTTCAGCAGTCCCGCGAGGTCCATGGTGTGTGGACGCTCTTATTCAGAAATAAATAAATACCCACAGTCCAAGATTTCCAGAAGGAAGAAAGATCCAGGACTCAGGAAGGCGTCTAAAACACAAACAAATAGGAAATGTTAGCAAAAACACGATACGTTTTTAGAGTCAGAAAAAAAAGTGCTCTGAAAAGAAAAATATACACTTGAGGTTAAACTCATTGTACGTTAGTTGATTTATCTTTATTTTGCCAACATTGATGTAGTGCTGACTTCCTGTCGAGCATAGTCTAAGCCCTTTAACAATAATCCTTCCTTTCATTCTCCCAATATCCTCTGAGGTTGGTACTTTGATTACAGATGAGGAAATTGAGGCCTGGAAGGTGGAGCCACTCGGCCAGGGTTCACCACTTCCCAGCTGGGCAGTAGCTGAGCCAGCCACGGGGCCCTGGGTCCCACTTGTGTGATGGCTGCCCACAGGACAGGCCACAAATCCGGCTTCCCCTCCTGCTGCCATAGCGGACTGAGCCCCATTCTCTCACCCCCAGCCCCATGCCATCTCCCTTCTCTCATTCACCTCCTCCAGATCCCCGCTCACCCCTCACTTCCAGCAGGACTGCCCTGAAGTCAAGCCTACCCTGGACACGGACGAGGACACACCCAGAGTGGGTGCCACCCCTCAAGCACCCAGGACTAGGGAGGCATTTACTTGAAAACCACCACTGTTTCTCCAGCACATGAGGGCCATCATTGGCACAGGGTGGGAGCTTAATTTTAAAAAATATTTGTAGAATGATTTAGCCAAGGTAGACAAGGGCTCAATTTTGAGGATATCAGTAAATACAAATAACTATGAAGGTACGAAAACTACCCCCACCACACCCTGGTCACACACACACACACAGACACACACACACACCACACACACACACAGACACATAGACACACACACACAGACACACACACACACACACACCACACACATCTTAAGGGTTCTGAAATCAGAAAGAAACTCAACACACACATACAGTTAGACTCACAGTCCTCTAATCAGTCTCCAGCTCAAAACAGAATAACGAAATGACTTTACAGTTTGGGAAATAAACGGTTTCCTTTGAGGAAAAGGGCAGGAGTTTCAAATACTCTGATGAAAAGGAAAGCTGAGAGCAGTGGACTCGCTTGTCCTGGAAGCAGAAGAGCCTTGCCGACGACCCCAGGAAGACGTCTAATGTTACAACAAACTTTCTAACAATAGTAGTGGAGAGGCCCTAAAATGGTTACAATCTTTATTAATAATGAACAATCTGTATACAGATGGTCCTCGACTTACGCTTCCACTGAAAATTCCCAGCTTTACGATAGTGTAAAAGCAATATCCATTCAGAGAAATTTTAATTCGAGGTCATACAACTCTTCTGTTTTTCACTTTCAGTACAGTATTCAATAAATTACATGGACTATTCAGCACTTTATTACAAAATAAGCTTTGTGTAAGATGATTTGGCCTAACCGTAGGCTGACGTACATGTGCTGAGCACATTTAAGGCAAACTAGCTAGACAATGATGTTTGACAGGTGAGGTATATGCAATGCCTTTTTGACCTACAATATTTTCAATTTGCAATGGATTTATCGGGATGTAATCCCATCATAAATTGAGGGGCTTCTGTAAGAGTTTCACACATATGATCTCATTTTAAGACTCCTATGAATCCCACAAGGTGAGTATTCTTATCATCCCATTTTTCAGAATAAGAAACTGAGGCAATGGTGAGGTTGGGCAACTGCCTACGCTTGCCACAATCGGTAGCTGATCTTGGGGATCCGTTTTAACTCTGAGCTCTTTCTCCTGCACGTGTCAGGAGTATTTTGGGCTCAGAACTCCCTTTTGCAGAGCAGCCCAGAAATTACCCCAAGGGCAGAAGACAGCACAGCTTTTAGTGCAGTCACTCCTGGGCCATGCAGGTTGGCTCTGAGGACGGTTTCAGGCATACGGAGATCACAGGGAGGCATGTTTGCATTTACTGGACTATCTGGAAGGCAGGTTGCATTCCTGCAAGATTCCTATACATTTCTGATAGAAGGGAAATGGGAAGAAGCTTTTGGCCTGAGTTCTCTGAAATCATCTTTACTCCACTGAGACATCCCATTCTCTAGGCCCCGGAAGCTCCACTCTCTGGCACAAATCCAGGCCCTGCAGGGTCTGAATCATCACATCTCTAGCCTTCGCAGACAGCACTTCCACAGACATTTCCAGGCTGGAAAGCTCCGTACTGAGTTTCAACACTCCCAGGCTCCCACTGAGGAATAGGCGTTAAGCTGGCAGCCCCCGCTCAGTGCACTTGACTTTGGGAGCCACGTAAATAGGAGGGGTTTACATGGGTTTGCAGTTTGGCAGCAGTAACAGTTTGATGTTGAATATTCATGCAATTTGCCCATTTTCCCCCGGATTAGCCACTAATGGCGTCAAGACAATCTGGTCAGGCCAAGCTCCAGTTTTCACTAGGTTTCTGGGGCCTAGCGTTTGTAAATTACTTGACAAATCCTTTGTTTTGTCAATTCTACACTATGAAAAGGAAGCCAGCTGACATCGGAAATGCAGGGGATTAAACACTGCCTTCCTCAGTGTCCAGTTTAATATTAGGGCATTAGGAAGAAAAATAAAGAATTCTTTTTTTCCTTATAAGATTTCAGGGTAAATTGAAATTTTACCATATGCCCTCCGGTAAAACCCTCACTAGTAATGCATGAACCAGAGTCTCACATGGCACTGGTGAAGCGTAAAGAGGAACCCAAGCAGAGGAGCCTAAAGAGAAATCAGACAAGGGTTGGTGTGTTTGGGGTCTTAAGTTGCAGCTCCACTTCTGTCCTCAAGGCCCGTTTCCTGGCCTGGCGTGTGGTGGTTGCATGTGGGCTTGAGAGTTCCATTGCCCGAGTTTGCGGCTCTGCTGTCTCTCTTCTTGGTTGTGTATTGGAACCCTGTTTTGGGCACATTAACTATTCTGCACCTCAGTTTTTCTATCAGTAAAAAGGGACAACAGAGCCTGGCCGGGCGCGGTGGCTCACACCTGTAATCCCAGCACTTTGGGAGGCCGAGGCGGGCGGATCACGAGGTCAGGAGATCGAGACCATCCTGGCTAACATGGTGAAACCCCGTCTCTACTAAAAATACAAAAAAAATTAGCCGGGCTTGGTGGCGGGTGCCTGTAGTCCCAGCTACTCGGGAGGCTGAGGCAGGAGAATGGCATGAACCCGGGAGGCGGAGCTTGCAGTGAGCTGAGATGGCGCCACTGCACTCCAGCCTGGGTGACAGAGCGAGACTCTGTCTCAAAAAAAAAAAAATAAAATAAAAATAAAAAAAAAGGACAACAGAGTCTAATCAAAATCCCAGGGAGGCTATTGCTTTTTGATTTTGTGAAACTTACGCGGATTCTCAAATTTATATGCAAACGCCAAAACAAGAATAGTCAAGGCATCCTCTGAAGAAGAACCAGAAGTGCTGTGAGGTGTTAAATAATTTAACTGACTTTAGAATGAGGGCTGGGTATTAAAAGAAACACGGCTGAATTATGTCGGGGCGTGTCTGGAGGACAAATGTGTGACATAGGTCTTTAGTTCATTCCAGATAGACGTTTTGAGGACCCATCTGGATTAGTCCATTCTCCCACTGCTATAAAGAAATACCTGAGAATGGACAATTTGTAAAGAAAAGAGGTTTAATTGGCTTATGGTTCTGCAGGCTGTACAGGAAGCACAGCGGCTTCTGCTTCTGGGGAGGCCTCAGGAAGCTTTTACTCATGGTGGAAGGCAAAGGGGGAGTGGACATCTTACATGGCAGGAGGAAGAGCGAGACAGAGAGATGGGGGAGGTGCCACACACTTTTAAACAACCAGATCTCAGGAGAACTCACTCATTATACAGTACCAAGGCGGGACGATGCTAAACCATTCATGAGAACTCCACCCCCGTGATCCAATCACCTCCCACCAGGTCCCACCTCCAGCGCTGGGGATTGCAAATTCAACGTGAGATTTGGGCAGGGACACAGATACAAACCATATCAGCGTCTTTCCCATCCTGAATAAAACAGCACTTTCTCTTCTAATGTGGCAATTAGCCAATTTCATGTCATGCTGAAGAAAGATGGTATAAATATCTGGCCAGCGATGAAAATAGCTGGAGAGAAACATTTCAAAAATACTTTGCCTATTTCCCTTTTAGCTTTGCAAGTACCTACAATGTGACAGAAAGAACCTTTCCAGCAAATCCACTTCAGTAGCTTATTATATGAGGCAAGGATATGACAAAGAACTTATGCTGTTTCTGAGCATATCAGAGCGGTACTCATGGAGTTTCTGAATCAACAGAGAATTGGGAAACTGCTGCTATGCCATATTTCTGTGAAAAAAAAGAATATGCTTCTTACTATCAAGGCCAAAAATGATGAACTCAAGTGCTTGACAAAGCAAAGATGATGTATTGCCTTTTTCTGGGTTTTGGTACTTATGAAATGAAACAGCAGGTGTTTTCCCATCAGTGAGCTCAGAAGCAGCGTTTAAGCTTTACTTTTTCCTGAGATTCACCCCATGACCTTGAAAGACCCTAGGGATGGGAGTGCAGGAGGCCAAATCCTACTGGGAATTCCCTTTCAACAAGTTCACACAATGAAATCTGGCTACAGAAGCCAGCACAGTTACCTCTGGGGGCAGACAAATGACCCGATGAGGGTTTAAAGCATGCATTAAAAGTCAGCAGGAGGCCAGGAGCAGGGGCTCACACCTGTAATCCTAGCACTTTGGGAGGCCAAGGTAGGCAGATCACTTGAGGTCAGGAGTTCAAAACGAGCCTGGCCAACATGATAAAACCCCATCTCCACTAAAAATACAAAAAAAAAAAAAAATTGCTGGACGTGGTGGTGGGTGCCTGTAATCCCAGCTACTCGGGAGGCTGAGGCAGGAGAATCACTCAAACCTGGGACCCTGGCAGGGCGCGGTGGCTCACGCCTGTAATCCCAGCATTTTGGGAGGCCGAGGTGGGCGGATCACAAGGTCAGGAGATCGAGACCATCCTGGCTAACATGGTGAAACCCCGCCTCTACTAAAAATACAAAAAATTA